GCATCTATGGGAAATGCGGGGCTATAGTTGCTCAGATTTTGGGAATTTTGGGGAAATTTGATCCCTGCCGATGTTTTCGCATTTCAGGCTTCAGGAATTTTGGGGAAATTTGATCCCTGCCGATGTTTTCGCATCCGAGGGTGCCCACGTCACATAATCCACAGCTTTCAAAAAGCAGGCTCGGGTGGATCTTGGGGGGGGCGTGAGCTAATAACAATAATAATAATAATATAACAATAATAATAACTGTCACAGGGTTACAAGCGAGCCTTCTTCGAGGCTCCCTCGAGTGCTCGCTTGGCTTTGCGCCTTCGTTTCCCACCTCGGGATGACGTGGGGAGTCACTTGAGTCACTACAGTGGCGCAGCTACTCGCAGCTACATCAGCGCTACTCTCGAGTCTGCGCCAGGGCCAGGACTGCCCTCTGCTCCCTTCTCCGCGTCCTGGGCCTTGTTGGGGCGAGGGACGGTGCACCGCGGCGCAAAGAGCCTTCGAGGAAGGCCCCGGCCTCGTCGCCAGCGCGCTTGCGTCCGCGAGGATGCCTCCAGAACTCGCAGAGCTGAGATTCTGGCATCGTCTGCCGAGCTGAGCCCGGCGCACTGCGGCTGCGCCGGTCGCCCTGGTCACCTTGCCGGCCAGCAGAGGCGAGTCGGCGGGGATCTCCGATGAGAGGAGCACCGAGAGGTTCCCGTTTTCTCCGGCGGAGTCTTTGAGCTGCTGGAAGGTCTCTGAGAAGTCTGGTGGCTCTTTCCGTGCGAAGCCAGGAGGAAGAGGCAAGTCGAGCGTGGCACTGGGCCGATCAGAGTTGGGGCAAGCCGCAAAAGCTAGCATGTGCTTGGCAAACTCAGAGCCCACCAAGCTGAGCCAATGCATGGACAACTTGTGCAGCACGATGGCAACTGCCACCAACGCAAAGGAGGGCCCGGGCCCCATGCTGTCTTCCTCCCCTACTTGCCTTTCCTCTGGCTCGGCAGCTGCATCTGCCAGTAAAGGCATGACCTTCAACATCAGAAACTGGATCGTGCACTCGAAGATCCTAGCAAGCTCCGCTTCGCGAGAAATCGGTAAGCGCATGAGCAAGCCGAGGGCTAGCTGAACTCGGAGCAAGACCTGCGACTGCGACAGATCGCCTGCATCGATGCCAGTGCTGATCATTTCAGTCATGAGAGCGGTGAGAAACTGATCGCGCATCTGCTTGCCATCTGACAAGAACGTGCCATAGGCATCGCACACTGATGCAAAACGCCAGGCGTCCTGACTGGAAACAGAGCAGGCACGGTGCATGTGACAAGTGGCGAGAGTGAGAGAGAGAGAGAGAGAGAGAGAGAGAAGCAGGGAGAGGGAGGGAGAGGGAGGTGTCCGAGAAGACGGGTCTGAAAGTATCTCAAGTATCAGCAGTAGATGATGTCAGCGCTTGGCAGCAGAAGTCCTGGTGGACGCTTCCCGAGGAGCCGAGCTGAAGGCCGAGCTGCTCGGCGGCTGCCTTGAGGCCATGGCCACACTTCTGCACCAGGAGCGGAGGTGTGGCCTCCACCAGGCGCAGGAGGAGGCTGCGTGTGTGCGGAGAAGCCGAGGGGTTCCCAGCCAAGCTGGCCGAGAGGAGGCTCGGCAGTGTCGAAGCAGGGTGGACGACCCCAAGGTCGCAAAGTGAGTTAAGGCCCCGCAGAGCCTGCAAAGTGGAAACGCTGTCTGTGGAATGCAGGATCTGCATCACCTCCTTCTGCAGCCCTGCCAGGCTCTGTGCTGCTATGCTGGCTTCCGAGACAGCATCCATATCGGAACTGCTCGCGCTGTTCGCTTGCGCCACCTCCTGGAAGTGCGCGGCCAGTCCTGCATGGAGACGAAGCAGAAGCACCAAGCATTATCAAGCATTGCGTGCGACAGACTCTGGGTCCCCTGGGTCCTGCAAAGGTCTCTGCAGTGCGCGCCCGGAGGTTCGTGCCGAAGTTGCCTTCGGCCTGCTTCAAGCCGTGCCGGAGCACCTCCAGTGGCCCAGGACCTCCGGCACCGCGCCGTGCCTCCTCGCGGAGGAGGGACGGACAGCGTCGGAGCGCAAAGCCCAGCGCCGTCACGATGGCAGGCTGCCCGGCCAAAGGCCCACGCAGGCAGCAGTCACTGAGCAGAAGGACCGCGCTTTCGAAGGCAAGCTTGCAGCCGCCCTCTGTGGAGAGCAGCTCAGAGCCCTGATCCAAAAACTCCACCACGGACCCCACGATCCATGCATGGCGACAGATCCTGCCGTGCGGGACGGGGCCACACTGCTGCACTACCTCTGCTAGGATGCGTACACCTCGGTTGAAGATGGGCGATGAAGACGGAGGCTCGAAACTTCAACTGATACTATTCACTAGTAGCACCAGTAGCCAAAAAAAAAAAGAGGCTAAATGCAGCATGGCACTGCGACCGAAGTGTCCCACCAGCATCTGCCCCGCAGGGGGCCACAGTGGAACGAGCACTGCCAAGCATCGGACGACGGCCCGGGCCAGGAGGCCCAGGTCGCCCAGGGGAACCCTGGCCTCTTCCATCAGAGCCTCGGGGTAAGAGCTATTATATATATATATACTATATTACAAAATTTATTGTATTTCTTATATATTCTTATATATATATATATATATGCTA